ATTAAAAAGTAATTTTTCCCTCATTTTATTTATCACTTTCATGTTTAACGTTTAATCTTCGTTAAGAGATCAGAGCACGGAACATGCGTAGAGTGTCGTTAATCGTATGCGAGTCGTCTTGAAAATCGCACAGACAATGAAAAATGCAAGAGTACAGGGTAGGGAGTGTAGGGACAACGCGAACTGCGCGCGACATCGTAATCCTCGTGAGAAGCTTATCGGATGGGACAACGCATTCGTATGTATTGTCGCATTCGTCTGTACGTGCAGGATGCACGATGCACGATGCACATCCGGTACGCCCGAATAAAACAACGCTCTTCCTGTACCAGCCGAGTGCGACAACAGCAATTAGCGCCTCCGGTCGGCAATATGCGCATAAACCGACGAAAAATATATACGAGAAATGCTAATATACGCGCACTCGCGCACGTCCTACCTGGGCGGCCGCAATGCTGCGCTAAAAGCATGTTTTTCTCGCGTGATCATCCTGTTTTGTCGCCAGCGAATATTCCTGCAACAAAACTAATCGGATTCCTCTCGAATAAACATAAAATCTTACGGTCTTGTACATATAAGTTGTATATTCATATTTTTGCTATTCATTCTCTGTTTCAACTATTCATTCGATACTTTGATGTAATTTCACACTCGTTGGCACTAACGTTGGATGTATTTTTCTTTAAGTTAGAGAATATAAATCGGAAAGTCAATGTTTTCGATATAAGATGAAATGAAAGGAACGAAATTGATAAAGATTTCATGATGAAAGACGAAAAACAAGCGAATTTTTGCAAACATATTTCTTGTAACGTGATAGAGCAATCAGATTTTCTGGACACTTCTGACCGAGGCAAACACATCTTACGAAGGAACAGAAAGGGCGTGAAGTCGAGAGAGGTAGAAACAGCTTCATGGACAATTTGGTCGTCGTGAATGGAGATTCGTCGAGATAAAATTGTACGGGTATAGGCACAATCCCATGGGATAGACTATTCGTTCTTATTGGCTCTTAGCACGATTGTCTCGAGCTAAATCAGCTGAAGATTGCTGACAGATACGAATCGTCATTGACCGCGCGAATTACATTATCTAATAATGTAATGATGTACCCGAATAGTATGGTACTTTTTAAATCGCAGCTGAACATTTAATAAATGTAACTTTCTTATTATTGGCATGTTAAATAATTGTTAATTAATCAGGATCACTTTATGCAACAATTTCAGAGAGAAGCAAGGAACACTCGTTAAATTGCAAACTACAATTTAAAACGGTATGAGAACTGTTATAATAGAGGAAACTGATATAATACATGAAAAGACGAGATAAAGGACCAACATAATACGCGAAGTTTGGACTATTACGTTGTATATGTATCGATTTTCATACCTAATCTCTCCGTGTTTTTTTAATCGGCTTAATGTTCGCAATACCATCGATCGGGACAATAATCGAACTAATAAGTTACGTGCCAAATAGGTTTTTCACATTGCCAATTTAAAATTGCCAGTTTTTATTGATTAAATCGCGTTTTCATCTTGAAATCAAACGAATCGAGTGCCTGTGGCATGGCAGTTATATTCGCCAGGCAATAAAACGGTTGTTTATGAAGGTAGCGGTCGATAAATTGGCTCCATCCTGCGTAGTAATTTCAAATACATCGTATCAGCATATTAGTTTTCAGTTAATTGCCTTATAACAAGTCAGCATATACTTTATAGTTTTGCTTAAATTCTGCGATCTCTCAGCAGAGTGCAAATCTTATTATGAGCGAGCGCATTGTAATAATTAAAAAAAACACGATCATGTTCAGAAGAACAACTTTCCATCTGGTTTATGGAACTATCAATTTTGATTTTTGAATAATGTACGAAAAATATGGACTTTTCTGCTTGCTTGTAATTGGCCGATTTTGATCGATACATTCACTCGAGAAATTATTTCTACTCGCAATTTAAATTTTATTTCAGAGCAACACTATAAAAAATATATCACGTAAATCACAGACATAATTAGAACGGAAACGACTATGTAACTACGATGAGAACAATCCGGCATCAATTATCGGACTGGCCGAAGTTACACTGTAGGCGGAGCCTTATGTGTGCTTTTGTATAACGATTTGTATTTCGCAGTAAAATATGCCATCGCGAATCGTGAATTCTGATCTCTCGAATATGCTGCAACGTGTTTCATGATGAGATGGTGATAAGGAGAGGGAGGAAGCGAGAGAGAAGGAGAGAGTAATTTACTTTCCGTCTTTTCGTGTCACGTTCTCATCTTATCCGGCGCAAAATTAGGTCAGAATCTTCTTACGCGAGATTTGTTTACGCGAGATAATTGGCCGGTAATTTTATCAATTTCGCCACGGGGCGTAAAGCTCATCGAAAATTCCCCATCGTTGGAAATTCGTACACGCTATATTTGATTCGCCGGCGGAAACTAACGCGATAATCTCGTCCGACGTCGATTTCAATAATTCGCACGTCAAGCTCCGTAACATCACGACGAAACGGTAGATTGATCGATTCCTCATCAAACGAAGCTACATATTCACCATTCCGGTAGATAATACTATTTTGTTTGTTTACTGTTTCCAACAAATATGGCCTTTCAAACACTAGTTACTTAATATTCTACTATCTGAGAGGAATGAACGTTGATATTTATCGTCTATCTTTGTTATTATGTATTAAAATTTCAATAGCGTCTTTCTTAAATATCGTAATATTATTACTAACTGTTGTAATTTCTATTCTTAATTTATAGCCACGTCAGATTGTCTCTATCGTTTCACTCGGTATCTACCATCGTTCTCGGCAAATTTATCAAAGGACAAAATTAATCTGTCCATCTATCTATCTGCATTCGGTGGGCTACGAGAAAGGGAATTCGCATAAATCGTATTTGCGTGGCGACAACGGAATCGGTATGCAAAGGCCAACTATGCGATTCGGCGTCAGAAGCCGATGCGAGAACCAGGAACGCAGGATTCAGAGTCAACAGTGTTTGACCTACCGTCCTGAATCCGGAACAGCCGGAAGCCTTCGAGTCCGGCAACTATAGCATTTCATGTCGACCGCGTATCATAAATTAACAGGAGACATAACGGGTGGGCGCGATATGCACACGCACGACGAGGCAATAAAACTATGCGCAGCAGAAACGAGATAGCGAGTCCTGTCCGACCAAACTCGAATGTATCTACTTACGAGGCTTTGTTTCCGCCCTATTCCATCTTTCGTCGTTAAGGAAGGAGATCCCCGCTCTCTCTCTCTCTCTCTCTCCCCTGCCCCTTTCTTCTCACTAAGAAGACACCCTTATCTACGGACTACCTCCTCCTTATCTGCTCGGATATCACTGCAAGTTCTCGAACAAGGGACATCTTCAGGTCGCCGAAACTTCCGCGGCAACTCGTACTCGTCCGGCAGGACCTACCGAGCGAGGTCCTCTCGGAAACTACCAAGTGAGTTGGATAAGGATCCAGGGAAGCGAATCTCGGAGAGAACGAAGATATATATATATATATATATATGTATAAAGAGAGAGAGAGGGAGAGGATAGTTGTAGTAGATAGGTATATCGGTCCCCCGAAAGCCAGGCAATGGCGCACTTAATGAAAGACTTCGGACAGAAATTGAAGCGAGCATTAAAATTTAAGGAAACAATGGAGAGGATGAGCACCACCAGACTATGGCGATCTCATATTCGTAATATTCGCAACGTTGCGAACTTTGAAGCCTGTTTGCGAAGCTGTTATTGAGACAACTAGAATGGCAAACTCGGTTAATTTTAACTCAATTAATTCAATTTTCCATGTGTTACGTTATGTATCCCGTGTTTACTTGTTCGCGTCATTAACCCTTAATTAAAGCTTAATTAATTCCGACCTTCGGTGTAAACTTAGCTTTCGATACCGCGACATTCAATTTGTCCGGCAATATCGGACGGGCACGAACATTTCCGCGTAGGATAGTCACATTTGGGACACCTACAGTAGCAGTAGTTGAAACGCATCTGAACCGTTACTGCATGCACAGGTTCATTCGAGTAATGCGTATCGACCTTACTCGAAGGATGCAAATATTTACACGTCGCTGGGCCCGGGTGTCCAATTATCGCGGCTCGAGGCGTTTTATCTCGCACGCTAACTTTGCAACGATATGCAAAGCGACTCTATTAATTCCTCCGTACGAGGAGGAAGGAACACTCGCTCGCAGCGCACGCTCGAAAGTTGTATCTGATGTGGCGTCGTATATCCCGCTCACGAGTCTGAATTTAGATCTCGCGTACGCTTTGTAATTTATTCTATTACATGTGCCATTGGAAACCGCGACAGCGGTATCAGCTTACGAGTCGCTGTCTCGTGCACGCGCGTTACGTCTGTCAAAAGACGGCAGTTGGTTTGCGCAGCGATGAATTACGCTTTCGAAGTCAACGATCGCACCTTTCCAACTCTCGACGCGCAACGATAAAAATTCGATCATTTCGGGTTCGTATTTATTTCGATTTAAATGCTTGAATGAACTCCTTACACAAAAGTTAGTTTCTCGACAAAACTGTACTTTTTTCTCTCTCTCACGGTAACGTACACACGAAATGTAACATCGTACGTGTAGGTTTCATTCTACGTGGACCATTCCAGGTGTGTAACTTGAGAAAAATTTCATTTATTCGTATTTCGATTACGTGCACGCTTATCGAGCAAGAAAACTTGCTTGCTCGACAAGTCGCGCCAACAACGTTGAAAACTCTTGGTCGGGAGCGTGATTGAAAGTCCTGACCGATATTTTGCTAATTACCAGCACGCCAGACACAAACGAACCACTAATTACATGTCCCGGTACAATGGGTAACCCTTAACCATGCACACAAAAGATCCCAGGCCCGGACTAAGCTCAACCGGCGTGAAATCATTCGTGATTCTCACGGGTCTTTCCTCCTGCCTTTTTCCTTTCGTACACCCGCGTCCTAACTCGACTCATTTTCCTTTGCAGATGACGCTACAAGTATCGTGGGTACGGCACAGAGACGTCCATTTGCTCACAATTGGCCGTTACACGTATACGAACGACCAACGATTTCGAGCGATCCACAACACTCATTCGGACGACTGGACGCTCCAAATAAAGTATCCGCAGCATCGGGACAGCGGTATTTACGAGTGCCAGGTCTCCACAACGCCCCACATGAGTCATCTAGTCCATTTAAATGTAATCGGTGAGTAATCTCGATAGTTTAACGCCAGTTGGCCAATGAAATGCGCGTAGAGGGACGCGAGGCGGATCGCTTGCAAATTCGTTGCTGAACATCGGCGATTGTAAGACGTCACGATTTCATGGCATAGAATAGATTTAACTTGCCCCACGCGCGATATCCCGCGGTTAGGTTTCTATCAAATATTAGTATGCGGGGAGCATGCGGGAATCCCTGCCTAATTACGACGGTGTACGCAACAATTAGTTAATTCTAATCTGAATCTGCCCCAGTTACGTAGCAACTGCGCGAAATTTAAGCCGAGCTTAAATTCTGGCGGAGCGCCAATTGAACACCTGGGATTGGTTGATACCGATGTTGAGCTAAGCTCTGCCCACTTCTTCCAGAGATAGGGCTTTCCATTACCGCAAAATTATCCGCGCGGACTTAAATTCGATAACGACACCCCTCAACTTTTTCGCTCTCCTTTATCGCCGCGCTACCGTTCGTCGCGACGGCGCCGCACAGAGATAAATTCGGAGAGATACGCGCCGACGTGTCGAGAAGTTCGCTCCTCGAGTTTGCATAAGTAATTACTTGCCGATAATCGAACGCACGTACGTCAGCGCAGAACGCAAGCAATTCGCATACATCATTCGCGATGTGGTATACCCGATTTAATCATGCACCGGTATACCCCAAGTACGAGCGCGAAAAGAAGTTTGCCGACCGGATCGTTTCAAGAGCAAACTTTTATACCAAGCCATATCGCACGTACGGCTCGCTACGAAAAACTTTCGCGATCGCTTAAACGTCAGGCCGGGAATTTATCTACCACGGTACGCGGCGAATTGATTTAAATCGTCCCGAGGGCGGCGCGTCTTCGCGCGCCTCCTCGCGCGTTTTTCCCGCCGCGATGCGCCGTCATCGTCGTCGTCTCGCTCGTCATCGCGATCGAGGTCACGAATTTTCTCTCTTTAACCCTCGCTCTGACCCTAGCGAGAAGCTGCCTCTTTAAATTTCGCCTACATTAAGACGAAGGTGAACGAAGGGATCGGGGCGGCCGTATATTTCTCTCTTCTTTCCCTTTTCTCCCTCCGACGCGCCCGTTATATTCCCCCTCGGAGGAGAAACGGGACGAAGCCCGGTGGCGAAAAGGTGGGTAAGAGAACGGGTCGTTTATCATTTCTAGCCCTGACCCTTAACGTAACGGTTGAACAAATGATCCTAAAGAGTAACGACTATACACACCTGCTCGTTCGAGTAGGTTCGCCTCCTCCGGAGAGCATTGTACTTTTCTTCCATGGTAATTACTCATCATCGAGGTGAGAGATAGGTAAGTTCGGAAGCACCCATTTATAACAGATGCAACAAATCCGAACTTGTGTACGTTGATAAAATCTTCCTCCGCGTAATCGCGCGCGCCAATCTATTAACCGATTATCGCCGTCGTCGATAAATAATCTTGCGAGTCTGGCTTACATTCTTGTCGGAGTTTCTCTCGTTATAGTCAACACCATCGTATTATCCGATTCCGTTAGTCTGCGCGATCTTTCTATATAGAATTAGCACACGAGTCTGGAGACGATCGCAGAAATACTCTCTTACATCAAATCGATAGCTATCGGTTTCATGAAGCGATAACCAATAAATTTCACGACTTACCTCATATAATCGGATCAATGAGCTTATACGACAATCGAAAAGCAATTTAAACCACTTGTATGTTTACAAAGTCATAAAGTACCAGTGCTTTTTTTTTCTCAGTAAGAAAAATATCTAAGAGCCTTGTAAATTTTTGCGGTGAAACAATGAAAACTTTGTTTCTTCGAAGTTACATTATATAAAACGTTAGGTAGTCTTCGTTAAACTCTTGATCGTCATCTCTGTAAATGAATTAGCATTATATATCTGCTATGCTTATGAGAAAAATGTATTTTCATTATGAGGAGATCAAAGTTTTTATACCTCATATCGTTAACGCATTATCACAAGTTAGTATTAGTCTCCTGTATAGAGGATTTTTTATTGAAAACTCTTACAAAAATTCCTAAAGTTAAGCGTGGATTATCGTTTCTTAATCACGCGCTCTACTAATAGTTTCTATTAGCTGATATTAATTCTGGGACTATTATTAACAACACAATTTCACGATAAATATCTGGAACTAATATCAGCGAAACTAGCGCGTAGGAAAATCAGTAAGCTGATTACGGAGTCGAGAACTTGTGGGTATCGCCATTTAAATGAATACCGAACTTTCGTGGCACCAAACCATCCGCAAATATTTCCGTTTCCTGGGACATCCTCGGCTTAAGCTGTGCTGGTATTTACATTCACTTACCGTCCCACCCGAGGCTTTCACGCCATGTCTTTTGCGGTGATTGTATTTGTTCGCTTGTTTTCCAAGCGCAACTTCCTGCTGATATTCGCTATTAACATTTCTCAAAGAACGCCGCGAAGGACTGACTAATTGGTAGTTTTTAACGCATTGTATTTGAAAAATATGCTTTTTCATCGTGCCCTGAATACGCGAGGCGTGATGGAGAATGCAAAACAGCGTTACCTCGCTTTCCATCCGAGTTATACAGTCGCGTGTCTGTGTGTTGAAATATACGACGGTGATGTAACGGGGTTTATTTTTCTAAGTCAAAGCACAATAGATTCCGCGGTGCGATTTACGAGTTCGCCGCTTACATTCTTCAAGATTTCGTTTAACCATTGTAAATAAAATTGCTCGACGACTGCAGGTATTTTTCTCGTTAAAGCACCGCGCGGTGGGGTGTCAGCCTTTCTTTCTCTCTCCTCCTGCTTCCTTTTTTTTCGTCAGTCTTCCGTTGAAAAATCGTTTCCCAAGTTTGCGTTGCGATCGTAAAACGTCTTTATTATCTACTCATACCTGTCGCCCATCTTCAAATTGCCTTTTGTTTATTCTATTGGACTAACGTTTCGCGATAGTGATACTTGAGGAACACCTGCTAACACCTGATAACATTTCTAATCAGCATTCAACGATCGCGCCTTTCCAAGTTTTCTTATTATCACGACCGAGGGGGAAACCGCTGACCAAAATCTTGTACACCAATGCCCACTAATGCCTAGTGGCCATTACTTTATCTTATTGTCTTATTTATTTTGTTTTATGTTATTTTATCTTATTATATCTTATTATATCTTTATAATGCGCAAACTAATGTCCTGCACACCACAATGCCTTCAGCGGTTTCCCCCTCGATCATGACACTTTGTTCACATTGTAAGTTATGCACTATTTTCTTGATTCGTTCCATATTCTTTCTATCGATAAGTGACTATGAAGCAAAACGCAAATACTTGGTTGCATAAAGCATTAACGAGAATGGGATACACGCAATATTCAATTTTCGAATAGTAGTACTTTTCTCTGGAAATGTGTTGCTGTATTCATTTTAGATATCTGATATTACGCATATCTTCCAATCATGAAGTAGCTAACGATTCGGCACTACCGACCTTTATTAACGCGTTAAGCTTTATATCCTCCAGATAGACGTCGCACCGGTGGATAGTATCGCCTCGTATCACAATTCGTGCTTGCTCCCTGCGGCTATAAATGCTTTCTCTCCGGTAATGCGGCTCGCAAATTTGCAATATCCATGCTTTCTTGTTACCCCTAGTATCCCTACTCCGCTGCTTTCTCCTCCGTCACTTCATTTCTGCCTTTACGAGCGCGTAAAAGCTTATAATGATACCATCGTGAACCGGCCGTGAACCACTTTTGCACAGACAGGAATATTTCATCGCTGGGCACGCGCCTACTCGCGGCAACTAATAACGAATAGCTGCTACTATCAAGACTGAACGAAACAACACAGTCTAATTATAAAATTAACTCCGTGATAAAAAAGATTATACCGAATAACCCATCTCGATTATCCAAATGGAATGAACACGGAATTTACAACACCGCGAATAATGTGATAATATTAATTTACTTATCAGGAAAGTCTCATTTTCAAATTTGATTCGCCTGCAGTGAAATTTCAAGGTACAATTCCGCGAACGGTGAAAATTATCGCGGAAGCGGTAATCGCCATGATTCAACGATCGCAATCTGGAAGCAATTTTTTCATTAGTCGCGAGTGCCTCTTATCGGGTATAATTTGAGATCTTGGAAAAGTATTCGCGGAGGAAAGTGTCAGATTCTCGCGGTAAAGTGCACTTCGCTCTATCTTAAGTGAGACTCGGGTCGAATAGTTTCCCCACTATTTCTTCCTTAACTTTGATTAGACGCATTCAAATCGAACGCCTTTCTTCTCTTTCCATCGTCTTTCCTCCCCTTGTGCTTCTCGCATCTCTTCGTAGAACTTTATCCGTGGTGAAGAAGATCGTGTAGTACACGCTTTATTTTCCGCCTTTGCAGAAGACGATTCACTTCTTACTTACGATCAATCGTTCGATCTACGGTCACGTTGTAAATATGAAAAGCGGCGTCTCTGAGGGACATGACGTACTTCTCTCACCAACAATTATTCAATTTGTTTTGTCCATTAGTTCCCCAACTGCGACCAACTCACTCCGCTTAAGGCGATACCGTAGATTCTATCACAGATTCTACATTGTACATGGCTTCTCATTAAAATACACGTTACTCGAACATATGAAAGCCAAATTTCACAATGTCGAGGAAACGAATTGTGAGCTCTCTTTCGTTATTAATTTTTGTTCCGATATCCAAATCAAATGTATGTTTTGTATCATTTTTTTAAAATTAATTAAATTTCATTAGTAGAATTTCACAGAAAAATGAATAGGAGTTAGAAAATGCAGACAATTTATTAACGAGACGAGACAGAGTTGAAACTTTTGAATTTGGAAATGTAATTTTTTAGGCATACGTTTATTTTTGATAGTGCTCGAACTTGAATCCCAAACTTAAAATGGATATACATATACCGAATTGCGACTCCGGTAGACTTTCGATTGAAGCGCGCAAACGCGATCTTTGCCAGTGGTAGTCGAAAAAGACAATATCGTTCGCAGCA